ATATTATTTTATTTTTATTTAAAGCCATTGTCTTCACACTCTGTTATAAATCATAATTTTTTTCAATTATTTAAAATTGTGACTTGACAACCTTAAAACTTAATAAAAATTTTATCAATAAAAAACAAAGAGTGCAATATACACATATCTAAAATAATAAAACTCAAAAAATATGTAACGGATAAACGGTATCACATGAATTGAAAATTAAAATCCACTCGTGATGATCACCGAGCATCCGAATGAAATCGTGGAAAGCTGTTTTCCGGTTGAATATTTATTGAGCGCTTGACCCAATTATGCTGTACAAAAGAATGCCATAAATTTGATATCAAGATAGATGCATATTGAATGTTTAAAAATTTATACAAACCATTACGTTTCTTCTACAAATAACACAATAGAATCAGCAAAAGCAAACTTAATATCGTATAGATGAAGTTTTTTGATTAATAACGAAAATTATTAATAATAGAATTTGTTTGTGTAAATATAATTGTAAAATCTAATTGTAAGACTTAAAGAAATGAGAAAATTTTATTCGATTAATTCAAGAATAATATTAATATTTTAAAATGTGAATATTATTGAAACACCGTTTCGTTAAATTTATAAATAAGGATTATTTTATTAACGTAATTATTTGAAATATATTTATTTACGTTATCTATTTACTAAAGCTAAGTACAAAGCATAAATACTGAATAAAGCCTGGACTCGATATTCTGAAAATGCATACATTTATTATGAAAGTCGTCATCATATCTTCACTACTAGCGCGCCTCATATCATTGTCACAGTTGACACGGCAGTTAAAAAATGCAACTTGCAACCAAACGTGGCCGATAAGTTTTCCGTACCATCAGATAACTACGTGTTTAAATTATTAAACGGTACGAATTGCACATGCAGGTCACATAATAAAACCCGACAATTTCATTCGAATAAGCGCGATCACGTAAATGGTGAAAATACATGCGAAAACGGGAAATAAGTTATCTGCGTGCGATATGTTATAGTTCTGAGTATTAATTTGCTATATATTATTCATAGGGGAACTGCGCACTTCGCTCTGACCGAATTATTCATACAACGTTGTAATTATGCGTTCGTCATTAGCCGAATTATTAGTCGATTAGCAGCTGACGATTAATCAGTGAGTAATTATTGCGTGCGCTGGCGAGGTATCGGCAGTAGCGTTTGTATATCAAAATGGATTTCATTTCAGAAAAGGAGATCGGCAAATTGAGTTCGATGCTTGGACAGACATTGTGAATTGTATCGAGCTGATTATACATCATGTTAAGTAATTGCATATGTACGAAGGCATTTATATATCGTTGTATCCCATATACAAGAGAATATTAATATGAACATAAATTTATACGTATTTGCCAAAATTAATTATTCTTAACTTGATAGATTGCTGTTTCTAATATTGCAATTTTACTGAAGTTTCATTTACGCAAAATAATTGAAAATTTATGTCTTCATCCGCGATTACTTTAATCTAGGATAACTTTTCGATTCACATTCGATCATCGCGGAATTGCCATACAACATAATTAGTAACACATCTACATTATGGTTTAAGCGTTTATAATAAATATGTAAGAAAATGAATAATAATTGCATGATCTCCCCGTCATTATTCATTTCCTTATATAGTTGTTAATTTACGTGATGACTAGAATCGACAACTACACGCAGCGACGATAATCGGACGTTTCAACAGCCGGCGATCTTTACGACAGGGCGATAAGAGAACAGTGTGCGAGAGATTCGATGTTAAACCCCTGCCGGTATTATCGGTGTAGATAAAGCACTATGTATGGCACCGTCGACTTTCACCGGGAAAAATATCGCCGCGTTTATCTGCTAGCCGAGGAATCGTCAAATCGATCGAATTGATTTGTCCGCAAACTTCAATTGAGCAGTATTCTTGAACGTTATAATGATCGTCAAAAGAGACAGTAAAAAAACATCATTACTAATCCGCGATGATATATTGTAATTGTTATAAAAGAGCATCGTTTTAAAGTTCTATTTATCTTTAATGACAAAAATTGATACAATATTTTATAATTATACCATAATTCAAACAAATTAGTTTTACACCGTATTTTTATCGATGCAATTTAAAAAATATAGTAGATAACATTCATAAAAGAGCCCTCAAACTGAATAAAAAAAGTAAGTTTAAATATTTTACGATAAAGTGTATAAAAACATAGCAAACAAGTATATTTTTCATCATGACAGATTAGAACAATTTGTGAAGTAAAATATACTCTTCTTATTGCCGCGGACACACAGCAATGTTTCAGAATATTTCACAGAGGTGGGCTCGACAGTTCATCGACAGTTCACCAAGCGGAAGCTCAAGGAAGGGGAAAATGCAATAAATGTCTCCCCAGTTTCAGTACTTTTCCTTGGTTGTAGAAAGTTACTTGTCGCGAGTTCCCCATATCATTATATTATTTAGTTCTCCCATTCCTCTACAAAAAAAAAAAGAAAAAAATAACCAGTCAGAGGTGAAAAGCGTGCAATGTATCTCTCTGTTTCTCGTGTTTATTTCTCTTTGACTTTGCCTTTCCCTTTATTTCTGGTTGTTCTCTTCGATGCTCACTGCGGGTGTTACAAGAAGCGAAAAAGCGCACGAACGAGAGATGACTTCCTTACGAGTCAAGAATTCTCTTTCTCGCTTTTGATTATCTAGGACTTCATACAACAAAACTTGAATGCGTTCATTCCCGAAGAACGCGAACGAATTTAATAGAATGCAATTGCTTGCTTATTACCCGAGTCATCGCTCTGACTTCATAAGTCTATGTTAAACAAGATATAATTTAATTAATTAGTCTTGTTTAAGCATATTTAACAAAATAGCATAAGTATCAACAGATATTTTAGAAATATCTAAAAAAAGGTTCCTTAATTATATAATCAAATTTATAATAATAAATATAACATGAATAATATTTTCGCTTAAATATACATTTTGTTTCTTATAGCATTTTGTTCTTCTCTTTAATCATTTATAAATATGCTTTAAGATACGTGTATACGAGTATCGTAGCTTTGAATAAAACATAACATCGATATAGATTAATAAAAATCTGTGATTACAGTGATTATCTCGATAACTGTAGAGAGAATAAATAAATTAATCATTCACATAACGTGAAATTTCACAAAGCTGTTGGTGATGCAACCTCGCCGATTTTTTTTTTATTTCCAATCGATACAATGCAAAAGCGTCGACGCTATTAGGGGCAATAAATTACAATGTAACGCTTCCCTTGTCGAACGAGCTGCGGTATCGCACGACTATCGTTCAGTCGATTACCCGGATATTGGATTTGCTCACTTTCCGCTCGTACGACCCTTATACATATGTATACCAAAATATTTGGAAGAAAAATTCACTCACCACAGACAGTCCTTTCTCGATCAGCAGACAAAGGCCCACCGGCACGGTAGAATCTGCAAAACAAATAAAACGAAAGAGGTCGTTTATCGATCATACGGCTTTACGTCGCTTTCTCTTCGCAAATTTGTCGCTTCCTTCTGTTCTCTCGCTGTCACTCTCTTCTTTTAGAAAGAGAGAGAGAGAGAGGGGGGGGGAGGGAGCTTTTGCCTTCCTTTTCTCACTTTTTTAAAATCAGCCGAATGTCGAAATGTGCAGCCGGCCGGTCCCGGCCGAGGGGAAGAGAGGAAGTGACAAGGGCTTGTCACTCGGAGTGACGATATAGAGTGAGAGAAGGGTGGAGAGAAAGAGCAAGAGGAGGAGAGCGAACGTGGCGAAGGCTGCGCAGCGAGGATAAACGCTGCTGGTGATCGAGAGCGTCGCTCTCGATGCATTCGGTAGGGAGGACATAAAAAAAGGAAGAGCCGATATCGAGCTAGCAGCGACGAAAGCGTCTCGTCGATAAATCATCCAAAATAGCACTCGATATAAAGCGGAAGTACGATTGGGCGCCGAGCCTGACGTACGCGCACACGGAGCTCGTGGAAAACAATATCGTCCCCA